TCCACTGTATTCTGGGCACAGGTCAACACCTCGTGAGCTACGTGTACATTGTCCACAATTGACGTATCAGGCGGAGTCGCACAGGGAGGGGGGATCCCTCCACCTCCTGCGGCGCTCCTCTTCAACTTAGTCAGCAGTCCCTGTCTTCTTTGTTGTGTGTACTCACAGATACGCGATTCACTTGAGAATTGCCTACGTGTAGATACATTGCCTGTTGGTTTAACTACTGTACTGGTTCCCGCATTCTGCTTCTGCACTATATTCAGCAGTTCGGGTCGTTTCCCCGACAGACTCACCACGGAGCCAAAGGAGGTAGACTATTTCAGAATGAAGTATGGGACATCAACTAAGGGATACTCTACGAGGATCATCTCGATAGCATGCATGCGTTGGAGATCAGTTGACGGCGGCCGAAATGGGACTGGCGTACATGTAGCAATTCTGGGGGTTATTGTTGCGGGATGATTTTGTGCGGGGCAATTTTATTGTTGGCGGCCCAATCGCCAACGGTTCATGCTAAAACGTCTAAAAGATATATATACTCAAATCCTCCCTTGGTTCAAGCTTCAGAGTAGCTGGTCTTTCGGATCCAGCTTTTGCGCAATAGGCAGACCTTTCCAATGAAAGTTAAGGGAGCTTTAGCGAAGCGCTTCCTGCCCCTCTCGACTGATCACACGTGCAACGGACCACCGAGGGACGTTATTTTCACAAGAAGCATCTCAGGTGCATCTCAGGTGGGATACATGATCAACTTGTCAGGTTAATACTACATGTAGGAAACAAAAATACTGCTGCAGACGGAGTGGGTTCAGCACATGTTGAAAACCTGCACCACCTACATAGATACATGCCGCATCCTGCTCTCTCTCTGCCACACACCACCGCCACGTTATCATAAAGGCGAGGCAACAACAACAACATGTTGCCCGCTTCATCAGCCCCGCTTCATTGAACACCTTACCCCACACCCACACGTCCAGCCGATCGGCACCGTCGATGTTCATAACTGCAACACAACATGTCCGCGTCGATGACGTTGGAAGGTAGGCCTCAAGTGGCGATAATCCGCCTCCTTTAGGTATGTAATAACAACAATTTGGAGACTGGACCCTTTCCATCCTCCCCCGCCGTTTTCCCGCGGGGGAATCCCTAACCCTAACCCTAACCCTAATTCGTTTAACGGGCGTTCCCCGCGAATAGAACACGACTGAACTAGACTATTTCTTTATAGCGCGGTCGATGCCATAAATATAGGATCACACCTCCGCTGCGCCACGCCTTATCTCCAGCGGTCTTCACCATATGTATTAAGGTAGAGCAATTTCCTTTGCTCTCTATAGTAGTGCGCCATAAGAAGCAGCGTGGATCCTACGCCAAAACTTTCAACAAACTAACCGCAGACGATGCTCGATAGAGGCGACGACATAAGAAACTAATCCTCGGCCCGAATGACGTTTCTTATCTCTGTGCCCGTTTTGTACTGTAGGACAAGTGTCTCTGCAGATTCGTGTACCTCTTTTCTGCACACTATGTTTCCTTTGGGAGAGTCTACCCGAACTACAGTAGTAGACACGACCCCAACGGGTGATGCAGCAAAGGTGAAGTTAGATGGACACCGCCGCAAAACCTAGAGAAACGAGCACCCACCGAATGGCTGCAGGGAATCTGTCCATCACAGATTAATAGTCAAGAGATTCGCTCGCCTTCCCGTTTTTTTCACTCATTTATCTCGCAGCTCGAGACCAACAAGTCTCCAAGACTTGCACGTAGGGACGCGCTTCGGATATACCAGATTGAATTCTCGCACATGTTGCAGAAGCGATAAATCAGCACCAACATGAGGCGGAACAAGAAAGTGGTAGCGACTGCCGAACCTGATTTTGCGGATGAGGAAGGGAGCAATTCGCGCGGTGGTTTGGATCTGGAGGAGGAGGAGGACAGCGGCAGGGGGTTGTTGGTTGCGGTCAATAAGCACGTCATCAATGAAGACGAGGATGATGAAGAAGAGGAGGCGGCGAAGGGCGAAAAATGCAAGTTTCTTCTCTAACCAAATTGAATTTCATTGTGTAGCCCCGACGGACAAAAAGTTGCAGAAGTCATGATCGGCAGTCCTGCAGCTATTAGGGTGAGGAGTTCCAATAGTTTTTGTGCTTGGAGTGCGGCAACGGTGTGTTCAAAATGACCTCCGAATGTTGTCAATCAGTGTGGATGCATACATATGTAAAAGGGATATCAAGTCAAGCCGTGCTGTGAACGATAATTCCCGATCTGGTTGGTCCCCCGCATGCTCTCACACGCAGTGAGCAAGCCAATGATGTCAATGGCAGGAGAGGTCGTGGACGAGGGATTGGGGGAAGACTTCGAAGACACTCCCTGGGTGCCACCCACTGTCAAACGGGTAGGTGTCTGATTCGGTTGGCCTCGTACCGCTGAGGAGATATTGGTGTTTCGCCATTTCAATGGCATTAAATGAATGAAAACTGATACGGAACTATTCAAAGGGAAAGTCTACACCGCTTATGACGCCGATCTGCGTACCCGGTGGCTCTTTCATGCATAGCAGGGTTGTCGCAGTGAACAGACCAAGACGGTGTGATGGGATCATCTGCAGAGTTAGACGAAAACTTGTCTGTTCAAGGCCTCGATAATATGGATACTCGGTGCATCGATGTTTAGGAATAGAGAACGCACCAGAATTTCCATGTGTTGTGTACCACTTATTACGCGGCCACACCAGGCGGAAGACAACCGCGCGCAGACCATCTATCGGGCCGGGAAGAGCAGCATCTGGGACACGCGTTTGCACGAGCTCGAAGACATGGGAATTGGCGTCGCACTGTACTTTCAATTCCTCAAGGTGACTCCGTCAGAGACTATGCAGGGCACGCCTGCCTCTTTCCAATCACGAGCGCAAAGGCAGAGGAAACAAAGTCCCTCTGGCTTAATTAGCCCCCGAACGAACGACACTGTTTGGCACGCATATCGTCCTTGCCCCGCAACACTGCTTTGCGCTTTATATTGATGGGGCAAGGCCAGCGCCGTCACGGCACCACCTGAGCACCGACATGTTTGGGTTTGATTACTGCGCATGCCGAAAGGTGGACATTTCCAGGGATATTCTGCGGCACATGTTCCTTGGGATCGGCTGGGGACTAGCATGCCCCCGTCCGCCAAAACGTTTTTCTTTTTGCGTATTGTCCGTTCCAACCGTTCGGATACGATCTGCCCTCGTCCTCCACCAAACCAAGTATCCCTTCCGACTCCATCCTCTGGCCTCCGTTCGTCGTTTCTGTGCTGCGGCAATCATGCCTCATCCTTAACAACAGTTTTTGACAGGAACGTACTTTGTGCTTACAATACTGAGCATTCCACCTCTTCTCTTCGCCATCTCCGGAGAAGGTTTCACGGAGGTGGGTAGAGCTACATTCTCAAGTAAGCTTGGTCAATGTTTGATGCAAACCAGTGGCCTAGGCCCGATATGAACACTACCGGCGCCCACCAGCCCTCGCAGACTTCATTGCTATTTCTCTACGGCGCTGCTACATTGCATCCATGCCACCTCCCCCTAGTGTCCAGCCCTGATGTATAGACGTAATTAAAACAGGATTGGCTCGCCTTTGTTGAGTAGCTTTGTGCGTGGGTGCCTCGGCGCGGGGTCCCGTAGTGGGAAACAAAAGGTGCCAGCAGCTGGGTACTGCCAACGGTCAAAATGTAGAAACTATCCGCGGGCGTGAAAGCCCTTCTACGTGGTGGAGCGTGGAAGCTCGTGTATAATATAGTTGTGGCGTGGAAGCCGGGTGGCGTGGTGGCCCTGATGTAAAGGTATATGTAGGGACGTGGGAGTCCTGAAGGCGTGGAAGCCGGGTTGGCGTGATAGCCGGAGTATGGGCGTGGAAGCCGGGGTTGGCGTGAGAGCCGGAAAAAGGACTTGATTATACACAGAAAAAGGAAGTGAGGAACCACAAGCAACGCACACAAATTCCGTTGTAGACACCCATACCCTCAAACCTGCAATATGTGATAAAGTTGGTACCACCAAATCTAATCCATAGCAACCATTGACCCCCCAAACTCCCCGCTCCATCTGCTCGGGAAATTCTTGCTCGCAATAATCTGTTGATGCTGTGAGTACATCCAACAGCCTTGATGGCGTGTCTACCCTGGGTTTACCCTTTCGCTGCCCACTGCATACTTTCTCCACATTCGGGGTACGGCAATTCACAAGGGGTTAAAAACACCTTGCCTGAAAAATGATCTATCCAGCACGATGGTGCTATGCCAATCAAGCAGCCATGTATGATAGCCGGTACGCGGGGATACCGTACACCTTTCGAAGACACCGAAAAGCGGACATTTCGAAGACCAAACTCTCCGTGGTGGTTCGCGTTCTTCTTACAAGGATGGTCGTCCCCTGATTGCGTCAAATGAGGCTACCACTTCCGCTTTTTTTTTCGACATGGAGTCGGGTGTCACGCTTCCAAAGACTCTCTTACTTTGACTGTTGCTGTTGTAGTGTTCTTGCCGACCGGGTTACCTTGGATGTTGCGGCGTGGCAACCCACCTCCTCCCCATGCTTTTGCGGTGCGTTCGATTCTTTCCCCTGGGGCAGGTCACCTTCTTCGAGAGCCTGGTGCTCACAATGGTTGGCAACGTGGGTTCGGCGTGTGAAGAAGATGCCGCTCTCACAGAGTATACCTCGGGTTGCAACTCTACAGCAGGCGCCTCCCAGGTGCTCAAGTGCAAGCACTGGCGACCGCGTACACAGTAGATATGGACGTATGACGCCTGCAGCTCGAACATTCGTGTAGCTGTCGGGACCATTTCCGTAAAGTTCGATTTCAAAAGTATCCTTGCAGACATGAAGATCCGCCGATCGATGTGGAGATTGTTGAGACTCACTACTGAAAACAGCTTATCTCCTGCTGCCTCAGCTCTATTTTAAGTCCGGGCACTCGTTGTTTGGCAGAAAACGATCGAGGAAGCGGTCGGCTGGATGGCCCACACGTTGACCACTGACCACATCAGTTGGAGATGTGTGTGCGAGTGTGTTTAGCAGTGTCATTTGTGCTGGTGGCGAAGCAGTCTCACTCCAAACGCCAGAAGAAGCCATACACCGCCAACGCAATGGTTAATATGTCTGCCGCTAATTCCCTTAATCCTCAAGTGTATACTTCACCTGTTTACTCTGCAAATTGTCTATTTGCATGAACCCACAAGTACACTCCATACGGGAACGAACGTGATCCCCAGTCAGGGTGCCTGAATTCGCCCGATGATCTCGCCGAAACGAACGGAAAACTCAAAAGTAGTGGGTTACACCCTTGTTCTCCAATGTGTAGTCCTGTGTATCGAAAGACATAGACCAGATTTTAACGTATCGACGTTCCGGATGTATGCTTGCGTCCGAGGAAGCCGGAAGACCGGAGTATTCGATTCTCACGATAACGCTGCCACCCCTTACCATACCGACAACGGATACATCATGAAAATGCGATAAAACATCAAATGACGTGCTTCCATTGGTTGGCAGGTGGTGTTCGGGACGGAGTACGCCGAATTGGACATTTCGTACTACATCACGGCGTTCGAGTTCTTGAGCTCGGTCTTTGCAATCCTGGCCATCATCTACTGGAGGTGGCGAACCAACGTTACCGTGGAGAGGGTGAGTGAAGGCTGTTGGCTCTTGTCGCTTAATTTTATCCGTTTCGGATTCTGCAAGGTACCTCCTCATATCCGCATTGACCCAACGCACGTAGACGCCTACCGTGCACAGGCTAACCGCCCCCAAACGGAGTAGATAAAATAATCAGGCGAATAAAAAAGACCCGAGAGGGTAACCCACAAAGCCGAGACACCCAAACTTGACACGTATAAGAGCATATCAAACGCGACAAAGAGGAGATCGAAAAACGCTTGAAATTAGCCAGCTAGATCGCTGTTGCCGAATAACGAAGACAAACCGCACAGCGTTGACGTCGGATTGACGAGGTAACAGCATTGTCTGCTGTTTTGTTACATCGAAGGTTTGTGTTACTTTTCACAAGCAACGTGAGCAAGATGGTCTTCCCACGTTAGGTTGTTCAATTCTTGGCCAAAGGTTATTGTCTTAGCGTCTGTCACATACACCCATTTGTCAATCCATAGGTTCCCTCCCTGCCCACAGGTAGATGAAAACAAGATCACAGCAACCGACTATGCTGTCTACATCGAAGGACTGCCCGAGACGGCCGGGAGAAAGGAAATAGGACAGTTTTTCAAGTGAGGTGTTGTGTTTACCCTGTGGTGGTCCAAGCAAAACGATTTCGTCGTGTCCTCACTACACAGTAAGTGTCCTCGGTGTCTGTCCCTAAATATTTAACCTCCTTACAGTATCATTGACGAAGTATTTCGAAAAGCAAAACTCTCCATGCGCTATTGAAGCTGTATGTTTGCCCCTCCTTTCTGTCTCTCTGCCTTCGGTCAGGCGGAAACCTCGTTTCGTTTCATGGAAGGGGAGGGTAGTCTCCCATTGAATAACTGTTTCCGTACACAGAGATGCGGAATTGGGGCAAAAGTTGGAACCGCGTCGGCAGAACCTCGCACGTTTTTGAATGGACGAAAGGCGACCACTTGTCTCTTTCGTCTCCGTAAGCATCGAGAGAGCCTGAAAACGTACTGAACTCTTGGGACCATCCCTGCCACTCGGCATTCAGCAATTCCTGCTCCGATCATTTGAAAGTAGTTCCGCTCTGGGGTTGAGAGCGCTCTCACCGGCGGCGGGGGATGTTATAGGCGAGGCCCTTCTGCCGCCGCAGGAGGTCTCGCCAAATCCCAAAACTAGCATTTGATGATTGGCATTGAGAACGAGGCCTTCGTACAACTGCTCCCGCTGACCCGTGCCCGATCCGTCTGTGGGAACTTACGGTAGCTGCTGGTCTGTTCTACAATAGAATGTCAATTTGGTGCTGTATGATACCATGTTTATCCGTCTTTGTGTCGCATGGTACTCTCATCTGTACCAGTGATCTGTACCAGCTGGAGGCGCCGGACTGGAAGGGGAGGGCACCCTACGAGCATGCACAGCCCGTTTTCAGCGTAGAAAACACCGGCGACAAATGGTACATGGGCAAGGTTAGTGGAATGTCTGGCCCACCTCCAAGATGGGTCATCGCTGAGTCTATCTGCCAAGTGTTGTGGGCAAGTGGTAGGGTTGTGGTCTTCGTTCACAGGATTTCCAATATCGAGGACAGCCCTGAGCCCGACAGCTGTATTGCAGGAATCGGGCTGTCAAGCCTCACGTGCGCGAGGCTACGTGTAGTTTCAGCACCTTACCCGGAAAACCGCCCGGAACACGTGGCACGTTGCGAGCTACAGAAAAATAGAAAGTTGTGAGCTTAGCATGGCCAGTCATTGGCGGGAACGGTGGTGGAGGAGGCCATTCGCATCGGATGTTGGAAGACGCAAAGCTTGCGAAGTACTACATCGGAGCTAGCTCCGTTAGCTGTAGGGTAGTGGGGTCCAAGAGTAAGCTGGATGGGGGGCATGTTGTTGCTTCCGAGGCCCCGTTGTCGCCTGGATAGTGACCTCACTCTGTCGGCGTGCATGCCCATTGGAATGCAGCGTACATTTGGGGTGAGCCCCAAAATATGACCTAGACTGATGGTAATATATACTTGTAATGTACAAGAGTTTGAGCGAGACCACCGGCCGCCACAGGAGGCCTCACCCAATCTAGATTCTGTATTAGGGATCCACTCCGAGGACCAAAATACACTACATGTTGCCTCTGCCCAGGTCCGCCAGAGTGTCCGCATGAAGCGACACCCACCAAAAAAGTCGCCGGTTTCACAATCATCAACCATACGCCTAAAACATCTCGCCCCAGTTCCCTTCACCTTGCAGCGGCTCCGCACGAGTCAGACCCCTCCTACACTCCATCCCCGCCGCCCCACAACCGTCCTATTGATACGAAACGTACCGAAAGTGGGTTGCCGAGGCTTGTGTCGCGCGGAAGGTCGGCCGGGAAGTGAAAGCGTACAAGGACAAGAAGGACACAGTGCTGGAGCTCAGAAGAAAGAGGGCCGAGGCGAAGATGTACAATGACGTAAGTGAGAAGCGTCCCGAACGTTTCAAAACAGGGGATGCACCGCGTACATCCACCTTGCCCGATCAATATAGACGGGTTCATCGTCATACCTCTCACGGTACAGCCATTTTCCCAACGCGTTCCGTCCAACATTGTGGGCAGAACGGCCATGAGTGCTCCGTTTGGTTCCACGTGGTTCCACACTGAAAGAGCTCTGGTGCATTGGACATCCAGCTGGTGTACTTAGTTTCGTCTGCGAGCGGTTGCTGGCTATTGTATGATCATTTCCACCGGCGAAGCTGTAGCGTTTCTGCTCTCTTTTCTCAACATGCGTGGTGCGCTCACGGCGGCAATCTGCAGTTCGGCAATGTCGTCAGTACTGCACAAATTCACCGGAAACAACAATCAGCATGCCCCTCACTGATGTGAAACATGCCGACTACGTCTACCACACACTGTACACTCGAACAAGATTTGTCAAGAACTCGATCTCAGGTGGGGTTTGGCACATTGTCGCAATGTTGCAGTGCAACACGAGGCACGACGGCGCGAGACATTTAAGTCTCAGTCTTCTCTCCCCCACCTCGTTGTTATATGTCGATTCATTTCCAAAGGGAACTCCCTTGGAAGAAGGAGCCGGAGCCGACGAGTCCAAGTTCTCGAAGGCCGTCAAAGCAGCAGACAAACTGGGGGAACGAATAGCCAAGACGACCGATAAAATCATGGAGATGCGGCAGGATATCGACGGCAAGCAGGTACAGCCCCTTCATTGTTCTATCCAGGAAGTCGATATGGAAGACGGGTACAGGAAACAGAGAAGATCTCTGGTGCAACACCGACATGAAACTTTCACGGAAACGTTTCGGACCTATGCCTTGGAGA